GATTAAAGAATAGTTTTTGAAATAAATAATACTAGTAAAAAATATTAGTAAAGGATATTTGTTTTATTCATCCCTGACCAAAACTGAAATTATAAAAAAAAAAGGATTCTATATGCTTACAATATCTGTACATTAGAATATACAAACAGTATAAGCTACTAGTCTATAGTCATGTTTAAGATATCAAACAGTGATTTAATAATTCGTTATCTTCTTGCATCTTTTTGGAGAGAAAAGATAATATTTTAAAAAATAAAATGGGTATATTAATTCATAAATCCAGCAGATTCTGTGGCCCGAGAAAACCCAATCCATTTATCCATGGCGTGAAGACATATGAGCTGTCGTTAAAGAAAAAACAAAGAACAATTAACATTAACCAATCTAATTAATTAAACTAATCTTGATCACACGTCTCCTGCCGTCAAAGTAATTACCGTCTTTTAGGAAACAAAGAGAAACAAAACAAACGGCTGGCCCACCGCCGTTAGAATCTCTGTTAGCCGACGCGGCCACCATTCTCTCTCCTTTGTCTCCTCTCTCCATCATTCTCCACGCGTCTCGTTGACCACGTGGCACTATTTATCTTAAAAGAAACATAACAACTTTTTATTAATTATTATTTAATTGTTATAAAATAGCTAGTGCGTAATGGGTCCATGTTTTTTTTTTTTTTTTAACCGGAGGGGCGGCTAATATAGCTTTTTTTTCTTTTACGAAATAAAATAAAACAAAAAAAGCAGTCAAAATATTCAAAGTTGAATTGGAGCTAAAGGTTTGACTAGTTGGAGACAAGGGATGCTAGTGGGAAAGTAATTACGATAATTCGTACATACATGGCGATTAAATTGATATGATTGATCATATATATATTTATATTTTTCAGGACAATTATGATTTTTTGGGTAAAATTATGATATTAATATATATTGCTTGATTTACAACTGCTTGATTTTCTAAAATTGTAGTCAAACAACTACTGAGATAACAAGAGATTATATATATATGTTTATAATGCTTATCAACCCACTTTCTAAAATAAAACTGAGATATTGTTTGGAGAATTACTTACTTCTACAAATTTATTCAGATATGTGCTTCTCAATCTTACAGCACTAGAATTCTATACATTGGATCAAGAAAATTAATTAGTCTTGATAATTATAAGTTGTTATATGTTTATGACAACAAGATTGTACAACGTTTTTATATATCATTTTGGGCAATCACTTAAATTATGCAAATTCAAACGCAACAAAGAATAGTTAGTTGTACTCACTACCTATCTTTTAGAGGAAAGCAAGCTTAATATCCTAAATCACGTGAGTAGACGTCACAGAACAATTCAAATTTGGAAATTGATTAACCACATAAATGAAATTCCGATATGGGATCCAATACTGAATTTCTTTGATTAAAAACTCGGAAATCTCTAATCGGCATTTATGGGAATACATTGTGTGGGTAAACAGCAAACTCCACGCATCTCCATCAATTGTGTAAATATTGTCCAGATTTATTCTTATACTGTTCTCTACGTTTTGAATCAAATTTTATTTAACATCAAATCATTTTTAATTATACAAATAATTTGATGATAAATACATAATCACACTAGAATGATATACATTACCCAAAAAAGGAATTTTCATCGAATATTTCCACCACAAAATAATTCAAAAAGCATTTGAATAAATATTTTTTATACTACTTTGTTATCTTTTCTAATTCTAATATTAACCTGATTTAATATATATAAATTCAATGCAAAAGATTAGATCATTTTATCTTTCTTTGCTGTTCTAGATTCAACAATCAAACAAAAAAGATATGTCATCTAAAAGATTTACAAAGTCAATTAATGCATTTAAAACTAAAGCATATTTTTGACAATGTAGTTAAATGTTTTAAATTTTAATAAGATCAACAAAAAAAATGAAAAACGCTTGGTGGTTAAAAAAAAAAACGAAGGGCTGATAAAAAGAATTTCCTCGAAGGAGGAAACAATTACACGTGGCAATAGATAAGTGGAGGTTAGGAAGAAAACCATGAAAACCGCTCTGGTTGTAAGAGAAGCCGCTAAAACCATTTCAGGCTTTGACTGTTCATAACAAAGCGCCCCAAAAGGAGCGTCGCTTTTACACTCTCTCTCTCTCTGTTTCTCTCTCTCCTTCTGTATATATAAACAAATACCTCTCCTTCTCTTCCTCCTTCAATTATCAATCACACCCCCCTCTCTCTCTATCTTCTCTCTCTTAGAATTTAGCTATGGTCAAGATGGGTTTGAAACCCGACCCGGTTACTCCTAACCCGACTCAGGATAATGCCAAGGAGATTCGTTACAGAGGCGTTAGGAAGCGTCCATGGGGCCGTTACGCCGCCGAGATCCGAGATCCGGGGAAGAAAACACGTGTCTGGCTCGGAACCTTCGATACGGCTGAGGAAGCGGCGCGTGCTTACGACGCGGCGGCGCGTGATTTCCGTGGAGCTAAGGCCAAGACTAATTTCCCGAATTACCTCGACATGAGTGAGAAAGCTCCGGCGATCGGCGGTTTTACGCGTAGCCCGAGCCAGAGCAGCACAGTAGACTGCGGTTCTCCTCCGACGGTGGTTACGCCGGCGACGACTGGGATTGTTCCGCCGCAGCTCGAGCTAAGCCTCGGCGGAGGAGGCGGCGCGTGTTATCAGATCCCGATGACACGTCCTGTTTACTTTTTGGACCTTATGGGTGTTGGAAACGGAGGTCGTGGTCAGACTCCTCCGGTTTCGTCGTCGGTGATGCATGTTGCGACGAAGACTGGTTGTGGTGGGGCCCAGAGCGACTCTGATTCTTCCTCAGTCGTTGATTTCGAAGGTGGGTTAGAGAAGAGATCTCAGCCGTTAGATCTAGATCTAAACTTGCCTCCTCCATCGGAACAGGCTTGATGCGTTTGGGTGGTGACGTTTCAATTCCAACGCGCATGCG